ACTCTGATCTCACTGTGTCTGTTCTTCCCCAACTACCAGGAAGCTGATGATGATCAAGACCTACACCCTCAAGAATGCCAAGATTTCATAGACACCTTGCCTACTGTACTGGATTACCATGGGATCCAGCTTTGCCAATACCAAGGCTTTTGGTATCCCAAGAGGATTATGCATGGAGTCCTCCAATCCAGAACCACTTTCAAGCCCTTCACTCTGATTTCCTCCTTATTTCCTTTCCCAAATCTGGCATTACATGGCTTAAAGCCTTGTTTTCTCCATAATCAATCGAAAGACCCATTATCCAGATCCGACCCGAACTAGTCATCATCCTCTTCACCCTCTCCTCACTTCAAACCCTCATGCTCTTGTACCTTTCTTGGAGATCAAACTATACCTTCAACAAACAAAGCCAGATCTAAGCTCGTTTCCAGCACCGAGGATATTCGCAAGCCATTTCCCATACATTTCATTGTCGGAATCTGCAAAGCAAGTAGGGTGTAAGATAGTGTACTTGTGTAGAAATCCTAAAGACATCTTTGCCTCACTCTGGCATTTCAGGAAGAATATTAAACCAGAAACCAAAGGGTCTAATTCGATTGAGAATTTCTTTGAGGAGTTTTGTGGAGGAGTGAGTAGTTATGGGCCATTTTGGGATCACATGTTGGGATACTATAAAGAGAGTTTAGAGAGGCCAGGGAAGATAAAGTTTTTGAGATTTGAGGAGCTGAAGAACGAACCAGTTAAGATTTTGAAGGAGCTTGCTGAGTTTTTAGGACATGGTTTTTCGAAGGAGGAGGAAGAAGAAAATGGTGATGATGATGTGGTGAATGATATATTGAAGCTTTGTAGTTTTGAGAATTTGAGCAATCTAGAAGTGAATAAAAATGGAAAGTCAATTGCAATGTTTGGAGTAGAGAATAGGGATTATTTTATACGTGGGGTAGTGGGAGATTGGAAAAATCATCTCACGTTTGACATGGCAGAACGGCTTGATGTTATATCTCAAGAGAAGCTAGCAAAACATGGGCTTGAAGATCTAGTCCCACACACGCAGGTGCTTTGTTCAATTCATGTTTGATAATAAAATGAATGCCAGTGATTCATTATTCTGTACATGTTGCTGCTAAAGCTAAAACTATTATCTGCTTCCCTCCTCGTTGATCTGTGTTTATGTATGTTATTGATTAGGAAATGATTTCTTATATAAACCGACTCAACTTAAATAATAGTAAAACTTATCAGATATTGCTCGCCTCTGTACATATCTTCTTCCCAGATTTTACTATAAACAAATACGTAGATATCACCCTCCACCCCGCCAAACCCCCTCCTTGAAAGAAGATCCAGAATATATATAGCAGCAGGGCTTCTTAAATGACATGGACTGTTTGGGCCATCAATATTCCTGACACTGCTGAGTTTGCAACAATGGCAAATTGTTCAAAGCTTTGCAATTTTGATCAGCTGTTTCCAGGCTAGTTTTGCTGTGAGTTCCTGTACTACCAAATGGCAGCCTCGTCAGAATTCTGCACATGGAACTGCCTGCTCCCCCCCCCCCGGGGGGGGGTTTAGAACCAAAAGAAAAGGGTCAAACCTTGGTCAGAGAAAAGAAAGGGGAGTACCAGGTTGCCCTTTATAAGCCGAAAAAGCTTCTAAAATTAATATTTTAAAATCTGCATTCATACTTCAAAATTAGAATTTAGGTTCCTTATTTCAAATTTTTGAACATTACATTTTATATTTTAAAAAATTAAGAAATGCAAAAAAAATTCGGGTTTATGATCCCCCTAAGCCCATCAATACTGACAAAAAAAAATTAAGCCCATCAATAAGTGCTCTCTCAAAGAAATGAAGCAATGATCATTTTTGAGCTCATCCTGATCATGTGTTGATGTACTCCAAAAAGACCAAAACAGAGTTTGGACTTTTGGAAGGGTCACTACTGGGTCCGAGAGAAGATGATGGTATTGAGCATTAAGGAGCCTAAAAGCAAAGCTAGTTAGGATTTTGATGGACCTATAATGTCGTGTGTGATATTTAGATGCCTGGAAGTGAAATTTTACTAGAAAAAAAAGGTGGTCGGAACAGAGAAACACACACGCACTCTCTTTCAGGCATCGAGAAGTTGAGTATTCCTGGAGCTTAAGGTTATATCTTCAATAAATTACCTGTTTGCTCATGTTTTTCTTCTCCCAGGTGGCCATGGTCGGCAAGCATGTGACAACTATTAACAAAAGAAGGTGGTGAATTTGAAGGGGAGAGAGATAACGCAAGAAGCGTTTCGTTTCAATATTTGGCAAAGTTCGTTTATTAAAGTTTATTTATCAAAAAATGAGTTTGATAAAAGTTAATTATTATAAGTTTATAACGATATTTATATTTAAATATATATTTTCTAATGTCAGATAGCATATGATGAAAAGTATATTTAGAAGTATAACTACTAAAAAGAACATAGTTTTATGCATATATGATTTTTTTATTTAAAACTTGATTTTTGAATATATATATATATATATAATATAAAGATTTGATATAGTGAATTTATATAATAAAAATGCATAAATAACATAAATTTTGAAATATTAAAATATATAAAATAAAATGTATATATACTGATCATTACTTTTCTGTGGGGGCAGAACTCATGCATGGTAGTCCCAAAGATTCTTGTTTGAGTAAAGCTGTATATTCTTCTCTAGCCAAAGCAAGATCTTCTGGATTCATCCCAAGATATGATGCTTTTATTGGATTAACATATTCATTCTTCTTGAAAGGGAGTTTAATGAAAAACTCTTTGTTCTTTCATAAATGAGATGGATGTTGAAATTGATTATGACTTTCACAGCATGATTCAAGGAGTTGATCCCTGATATGTTCATATCCTGGAGGAGCCTTTTGAATTTCCATAATACTTGGGATATCAATGTATTCCTTGAAAAACTATTTGAACCGAATACCCTTAGTAACATGGGCTCACACACACATGGATCATTGGTTAGATTCTTTCTGATGCACAGGTTCCTCAAAGAGGCAAGTGCACAGCATACTTGTATCTAGATATGACAGAAATAGGACATTAAGGAATCAAGCTTTTAGGAGAGAGAAAGAGTTTCCAAACAAGTTCTGCCTTCTAAGAAAATCGAAACCTCCTTATATAGACATAATATAGAAGATCAGGACAGATGGTGCATGATTACAATTGGACAACTTTAATCACATGCCTGGTTACTTTATATAAAATAAAAGTAAAAACAGGATGACATAACTAAAAGCAAACTGCTTTATCCAAAAGTCAAAAGTGACTTTTAAAAAAGTGGCTACAAGATAGATTCTTAAAAGAAGATATGACTAAAAGCACATTCATTCCGTGATTGGCACAGGCTTTTGTGGATGCACTCTTAGTTGTATTCTAGGTTGAGCCAACTTTTTTCTTTCTTGTGGCGCCTTCTTGCTGCAAGACTATTGCACATGGGTTCTTCAAGTTATTCATCAAAGTCTTGATCCATATCCTGAGTAAGTCCTGGGGGGTGTGTGTTCTTTAACTCTGGGAAAAGTTAATAAGTTTAAAGTCTCTATCTGATATGGGTCTTGATTGTCTGGTGAGAATGATGGAGGTGTAGATGATGATTCTCCATTATAGGATTCCATCCAAGTAAAGTATCTTGTTCGTACAGCAAGGCTTGTGAACCATTTAGGGAATTCATACTGAATAGATGGAGACGGGACACTTAGAAGTAAAAGTTGATGGAGTATTGGACCAAGAGATGTGCACTTTAGATTAGGATCTGAAACTGGATAATTATTCATTTCACATAAAAATTCTTTTAATTCAATTAAAGTGGAGTCTTCTTATGTTATCCAGTAGTCTTCTACAGGCATGCTTAGTTGGCTATGTAAAGCTTTCATTTACTGTCAAGGTGATAAGGATGATGAACCACAAACAAAGAGTAGGCATTTTGTTCCTGGAATGGAATTTTCCATAATAGTTCTTCTTAGACTACTCAGCAAAGTTCTTTGCACCATCTAAAAATAGGTACAACCCATTCAAAGAGCTTCCATAAGTTTGAATCTTCATGGGCTGAGTCATATAGATAATGAAATATCTACAGGGGAGTAACAGCTATAACATCAATATAAAGAGAGGATAAAAACCAAATATGCCACATGAGTTCATCCGGAATATGACCTCTAATAAAAGGATAGCAAGGTAAGGAGCTTGAATATCAAAATATTTAAGTTGGGGTTGAATTTGGGTTTTTTGAAGGAGGATGTGGAGCGAGTAAAGACAAACTCCTTTTGGATAGCTTTTGGACTTCTAGGACAACAGTTAGATTATGATCTGGTGGAAGAACTAAATTGCTGGGCATAATGTTTAAGATGAATAGGGGTGGTTTTTTTAGAAGGGTGATGAGATTGTTTTTCTTTTGAGGTCTAGTGGGGTAATCAGTAATGGTATCGTGATTTCCCTTGATGTGTCAGACTTTGAATTTATAGCAGGAAAACTAGTCTTTCCATTGAAGGAGTTGGGCTATAGGGAGGATTTTCCTAGTTTGTTCTAAAATTTTTGGGAATGACATATTGTCCATTTCTATCACAAAGTAGTAAGGGCTGAGGTAGAAGTTGAATTTTTCAATGCCACATTTCACAACTAGGACTTCTTTGTAAGCTATATGGTAATGCTTTTCAGAGGGTAAGATTTTTGAATTTCCATAATACTTGGGATAACAATGTATTTCTTGAAAAACTTTTTAAACCGAATACCCTTAGGGAGTTTCTACAGGTCTTTGGTTTCTCTATACACATTAAATCCGACAAGAATGTCTTTAGTAGGGAGATGGTTTTCAAGAACTTTTGTCCAGTATGTGCATCCAAGGAAGAATCTTATACTAATTTTTCTTTTGATAATAAGATCTATCTTGAAAAGCTTATCATCAACCATGACAAAATACTCATTATAAGGAATCCATTCTTCTCAAGGGAGAATGTGGGGTTTCATAATATTTATGCAAGAACCAATATCCATGAAGGCAATGACAAAGACAGAGACATCAAATTTGGAAGGTAATATCTAGATTTTTACATTAGGCTGTGGTAGTTGAGGTGGATAGTATGGTTGATTGAGATTTATAAGGCCTGAGGGAGTTGGGTTTAAAAGGGATGGATTAGGGCTTTTAATTTGGCTAGGCCCAATGGCATAAAGAGGTGTGTATCGATAGGGATACTATTCATCATCTAAGCTATCATCAGAGACTAGTAAAACATAGTGAGTATCTTTATCCTTTTCTAATTTCTCTTCAAGAACAAATTCAACATTCTAACCATCGTTGAAAGGAATGACAATCTTAAAGGATTGCAATAACTTCATATCTCTTTTGGATTTGTTAGGACATGTTTTTGCACATCAGTCTTATTTATTAGTCTTGGAGGTTCATTGTTTAAAGAATATAAAGAGACAACACTTTCTTTGTCTGAATGGTTTGTGCCTGTATTTATGAAAATGAGTTTTCATTTTGCAGAAGCAAAGATCACTTTCTTTGCACTTAATCTTCAAATAGGGTTTTTTACAGACTTACTAAAGTCTTAGCTTTCTTTTCAACATAAACTTCAGAAATTGTTGTTGTCGCAAAGCTTATCCAAAGTAGACAAGGCTAGTTGATAGATTTCTCCAAGAAAGACTTGTGACATATCTCTCCTTAGTGCATTAATTGCTCTATGCAGTTCTGGTTAGAGTTCTTCTAGTAATGAAGTAATAAATTGTCTAGTCATAGTGGGAAAGGTTGAATAAGACTCTTAAATAGTTTTGAACTAGTCTTGGGCTAGATCTGCTTCTATTTGCTATAATTGCTTCTTTACCTTATAATTTTTTTTTGTTTTCTAAAGTATTCTAGCCCATCATATTCTTGGTTGATAAACCTGCAGAGTTATTCATCTAGTTTATGTTCTTGTTTGTAGAGTCTTTGGTATAAATTCTTTACTTAGTCATTAGTTTGATTAACCTGTGAAGTCAAGTTTTCTATTGTACTTGTCAAATGATCAAGCTTGGAATCTATCCTGTAAAGAACTCTATTTTGACTGACAGCATTTTGAGACAGCCAATTGAGAACTTCTTTAGTTGGTGTAACAAGCTTGAGAGTGCCTTGAGGAGTCACTTTTGTCTATAGGACAGAAGGTCTACTGATCACCTTTATCTTATTATCCGATTTCTTTTAAGAGGAGGAAATTGTTCCTTATAGGGTTTCATCATTGTGATACAAGGCAAAGCTTGTACTAGTGCAGGCAAGATTATGGAATGGCTAGTATCACTAGATTTAGTTTTTCTAGAGGGAGGAGGTCTTTATGGCCAAGTTATTTAAGAAGTTTGAAAAAAGTACTTCTTTTTGTAGGAGGGTTTGGAGGTAACACCCACTTTCTCTTTATAGGTTGTTTAAGGCTATGGTTATCATTATCATCTTTTGGAGGTTGCTTATGTACACATAAGGATCTAGGATGTTTAGGCTTCCTAATTCTTCTCCTTTATCTAGAACTATAGTCATCATTATCAGAATCATTCCTGAGGTAGCAGTCACAACTGAGATCACACATTTTTAGAACACAATCCTAAATAAAGTGACTATAGATATGTGAAATATAAATAGGTTGAGCATCTACATCAAACCACTCGATCGGAAGGTGTTCTTTGTCTGCAGAAAATGTTGGAGAAATAGACATAATCCTACCAGAGATCTAGTTTGAGTTTTGAGTTCTAGGCTTTTTAAAGATAAATTTAACAGTTCATCTTACATCCTTAACAAAATAGGAGGTTCTGTAGTATGAACATCTCTTTAAACACCATAGAACTATTTTCATAGTTATTGATCTATTCCAAAGGCATCATGTCAGCTAATTGTTCAGTATGTAGCTATCTTGGAATTTATAAAATTGATAAATCCTCTGAATTGTTTGCAACCATAAACAAAGCATTACTAGTTGCATTAGGAAAATTGAGAGCAAATGAATAATCTTAGAGTCTAAAGATTATCTAGTGGTAAAGAATGGCCATAGTAGCATTAGGTTCCTATTTAGCTCCATGAATTTGGATTTGAACTTTTAGTCCCTTAGGAAGAGTCTTGTCAATGAGTTTGATGTTGAAATCAGGTGCTACAATAAGAATTATGCTTCCTTGGTTGAGGGTAGTCAACATGGCTTCGATTAAAGTGTTACCATATGACTTGAAGGTAGTATTTAACAAAGGAACCTTAGTTGTAGCTGCCATACCATTT